AAAAATATATGAAAGTCCAGAAAGTCCCAAATAATTATTTGGGATTTTTGGGACTTTTATAAATTTTTTCTTTCATTTTGTATGATCTTTTTTGTTTTGTGTTTTATTATGTTAACCTCTTCGCGCCAGCCGCACGCAAATGTGCGGCCTCCCGGCATCTGGGCCTTGACACCAAGCGGCCGCACATTTGCATGCAATTAAGAAAAACATATGTGCAGAGAGCACGGGCCCTGCGCGCTCCCAGCACACGTCTGGAACTCACGGAAAGTTCCCGATCTCCTCTTTCAATCGGGACCTTTCCCGATCATGTGACCGCCATGACAGCGAATCACGGCAGTCACATGACCTTAAAAACTTGCCCCGCCTCCTGAAACCCTTAAAGGGCTAGGAGGAGCCGACTCCAAGAGGTTAATTTTGATGTTTTTTCTTCGATGTTCTTTGAGCAGCAGCATTTATTGGATGTGGTTTTAATTATTCCCTTGGCGCTAGTTTTGAGGACTATTGAAGTACAGAAAAGTACCTGTTGATTTGCTGAAAATCAAAGGAACTCCTAACTTCCTGTAGTGAGATGACAACACTGTCTGGGCAGCACTGAAATCCCAAGTGGTATTGTCAGCGCTCCCCAGTGACATGACAGGAAGTGAGAGTATATCTCCTATATCTTGAAGCATCATCACAGACAGCATTAACCCTGTAACAGAATTTGTGAAAATAATGCCTCAGACGCAAAGTCTATCCTTCAGTGATCACCATGAGGAGCGCGATCTATAACCCTTCTCACCAGCCCAGCCAATTCAGGGTCACTGTACATGGCAGCTGCACAGCTTTGTGGATGAAACTCTGATCTTTACTGACCTGTGCAAGGCATTTTCTAGCAGCTGGTGGCGTCAGGCATTGAGGCCTCTCGTGGCGCTCTGTGTTAGAGCAACACATCATATTAATAAAGCTTCATAGACGGATAGAGAATTGTTCAGACAACACTTTTGGACCCGACAGGACAATTCTACACGCCCCATGTAGCAGCGCCGTCACGGATTTGTGTCATGGCTGCAAACCAGATGGCAGCAGCCCTTTGCTGGAACACAGTGGAAGAAAATGAGGACAATGAAAATTCAGGTAAAAAAAAAAAAAAAAATGTATATATATATATATATATACACATACACACACACATATACACACACATACATACATACACACGCACACACATATATATACATACACAGTCATGGCCATAAATATTGGCACCCCCCTGCATTTCTGTCAGATAATGCATCACTTTGCCCAAAAAATTGTTGCAATTACAAATGTTTAGGCATTCTCATGTTCATTTCTTTTGTTTGTATTGGTACGACACAAAAAAGTGGAAAACAAACAGCCAAATCTGACACATTCCACACAAAACTCAAAAAATGGACTGGACAAAATTATTGGCACCCTCAATTTAATATTTGTTAGCACACCCCATTGGCAAAAATAACTGAAACCAATGGCTTCCTGTAACCATCAATGAGTTTCTTCCTCCTCTCTACTGGTATTTTGGACCACTCTTCTTTCGTCAACTGTTCCAGGTCTCTCAGATTGGAAGGGTTCCTTTTCCCAATTGCGGTTTTGAGATCCCTCCACAGGTGCTCTATGGGATTGAGATCAGGACTCATTGCTGGCCTGTTCAGTCCTCTCCAGCGCTTTGTTTGAAACCAATTCTAGGTGCTTTATGACGTGAGCTTTGGGTCATTGTCCTGCTGTAAGACTCATGACCTCTAACAGAGACCCAACTTTCTGACACTGGGCCCTATATTGCACCCCAGAATTATTTGGTAGTCTTCAGATTATTATTATTATTATACAGTATTTATAAAGCTCCGATAGTTCGCTCAGCGCTGTACATTACAAAGGAGGACAGAACATGTGACAGAACAATTAAACTACAATGCAAAACATGAGGGGATCGAGGGCCCTGTTCTTTCGAGCTTACAATCTAGGAGGGAGGGGATGGTGGCACAGGAGGAGATAGCTGTGGGCGATGGTGTGGTAGGAAGAGTGGAGGAGGTCGGCAAGTTAGCAGGGGGTGGGGTAGGCTTCCCTGAAGAGATGGGTTTTCGGGGTGCACCTAAAGGAGAGGAGAGTAGGTGATAGTCTGATGGGTTTGGGCAGGGAGTTCCAGAGGATGGGTGACACCCTGGAGAAGTCCTGGAGTAGGGTATGGGAAGAGGAGACCAGGGAACTAGAGAGAAGGAGGTCTTGTGAGGAGCGGAGTGTGTGTGCTGAGTGGTACTTGGATATTAGGTCAGTGATGTAGTTCGGGGCAGTATGGTAGAGATGAGCGAATCGAACATGGCGAAGTGGAATTTGTTTCGAATATTGGGAAATATTCGATTCGCGCCGAATCCGAAAAATTAGCCAACTTCGGATGCACGAATCGAATTTTCCCAAAAATGGCGGCGACATGTGTGGCGGCGGAGCGGGGATCTCTGGGATGGCGCGCAGACAAGGCGCGCTGACCCATAATGCATTCATTCATGACATGTGATCGCATTAGCCAATCAGCAGCCAGCCAGCCAGCACTGTGTAATGGTGGAGCTATAAATTGCGGCCATCTTACAATTCTCCATTAGCCTCCGGTCATTCAAGAGAGACAGACCTGTCTGTATTAGGGACAGAGTTAGGGCCAGAGAGACTTTAGGGCCACAGAATCGTTACTTAGGGACACAGAATCGTTACTCAGGGACACAGAATTGTTACTCAGGGACAGACACAGAATTGTTACTGAGGGACACAGAATTGTTACTGAGGGACACAGAATTGTCACTGAGGGACACAGAATTGTTACTCAGGGACAGACACAGAATTTGTTACTCAGGGACACAGAATTGTTACTGAGGGACACAGAATTGTTACTCAGGGACACAGAATTGTTACTCAGGGACAGACACAGAATTGTTACTCAGGGACACAGAATTGTTACTCAGGGACACAGAATTGTTACTCAGGGACAGACACAGAATTGTTACTCAGGGACAGACACAGAATTGTTACTCAGGGACACAGAATTGTTACTCAGGGACACAGAATTGTTACTGAGGGACACAGAATTGTTACTGAGGGACACAGAATTGTTACTGAGGGACACAGAATTGTTACTCAGGGACACAGAATTGTTACTCAGGAACACAGAATTGTTACTCAGGGACACAGAATTGTTACTCAGGGAGGGACACAGAATTGTTACTCAGGGACACAGAATCGTTACTCAGGGACACAGAATCGTTACTGAGGGACACAGAATCGTTACTGAGGGACACAGAATTGTTACTCAGGGACACAGAATCGTTGAATTAAAGAGTATGTCAGACAACACGCAGAGGAGTGGCAGAGGAGGCAATGTTTCAGGAGCGAGCAGACGTGGCAGCAGAGGAAGGGGTCGAGGCAGCACTAGTCACAGCCAGAGGCCAGTGCTCCCGGTGTCATCCAGCGGTCGTGTCTCCACCGACAACCCTGCCGTCATCGATTGGTTGGCTCGGTCGTCTTCCTCTTCCCAGGTCACCTCTGACACCTACAGCCAACGGTCGGTGGGTACGTCAGACACAACCGTTAGTTGGCATGGCCCGGGAGCAAGCCCACTGAAATCACGTGTCCTCTACCTGCCCCTGTCCTTTGGTGTTCCCTCACCAAGCGAAGTATCGCATGCTGTGGGCTCAGCCCCACTGTACAGTGAGGAAGAGCTAACAGAGGGCGGTCAGGAACGGGGGGAGACATCCGCCTCTTCAGCAGCCAGGCGAAGAAGTACTGGCGAGGAGAGTGGCTCGGTAGCCGGTTTAGAGACAGGTCTGTCTCCTGACCCACACGCAGCCGAGGGGGCTAGTAGTGAGGCGGAGACCCTAATTGATGATGATGAGGCTGATCGCACTTGGCAGCCTCGTCGTCATCTGCCAGGCCCGTAATCTGCCATGGGCCCCCGTACCGACTCCTCATGCTGCTGCCAGGCCCGTAATCTGTCATGGGCCCCTGTACCGCCTCCTCATGCTGCTGCCAGGTCCAGAGTGTGTCATGGGTCCCTGTACGGCCTCCCATTGCTGCTCTCTCCATCGCCACACTCTGCCATGTGCCACTTTCAGGTCTCCCACACTGCTGGTGGGTTCCATTTTGTCATAGGGTGCTGGCAGATTACGGGCCTCCCATTGCTGCTGCCAGGCCCGTAATCTGTCATGGGCCCCCGTACCGCCTCCTCATGCTGCTGCCAGGTCCAGAGTGTGTCATGGGTCCCTGTACGGCCTCCCATTGCTGCTCTCTCCATCGCCACACTCTGCCATGTGCCACTTTCAGGTCTCCTCACACTGCTGGTGGGTTCCATTTTGTCATAGGGTGCTGGCAGATTACGGGCCTCCCATTGCTGCTGCCAGGCCCATCTGTCATGGGCCCCTGTACCGCCTCCTCAGCTGCCCAGGTCCAGAATCTGTCATGGGCCCCCTGTACCGCCTCCTCATGCTGCTGCCAGGTCCAGAGTGTGTCATGGGTCCCTGTACGGCCTCCCATTGCTGCTGTCTCCATCGCCACACTCTGCCATGTGCCACTTTCAGGTCTCCTCACACTGCTGGTGGGTTCCATTTTGTCATAGGGTGCTGGCAGATTAACGGGCCTCCCATTGCTGCTGCCAGGCCCGTAATCTGTCATGGGCCCCCTGTACCGCCTCCTCATTGCTGCTGCCAGGTCCAGAGTGTCTCACGGGTCCCTGTACGGCCTCCCATTGCTGCTGTCCCTGTAACCGCCTCCTCATGCTGCTGCCAGGTCCAATCTGTCATCTCATGGGTACCGCCTCCTCATGCTGCTGCCAGGTCCAGAGTGTCTATGGGTCCCTGGCCTCCCATTGCTGCTGTCTCCATCGCCACACTCTGCCATGTGCCACTTTCAGGTCTCCTCACACTGCTGGTGGGTTCCATTTTGTCATAGGGTGCTGGCAGATTACGGGCCTCCCATTGCTGCTGCCAGGCCCGTAATCTGTCATGGGCCCCTGTACCGCCTCCTCATGCTGCTGCCAGGTCCAGAGTGTCTCATGGGTCCCTGTACGGCCTCCCATTGCTGCTGTCTCCATCGCCACACTCTGCCATGTGCCACTTTCAGGTCTCCTCACACTGCTGGTGGGTTCCATTTTGTCATAGGGTGCTGGCAGATTACGGGCCTCCCATTGCTGCTGCCAGGCCCGTAATCTGCCATGGGCCCCCGTACCGCCTCCTCATGCTGCTGCCAGGTCCATGGGTCCCTGTACGGCCTCCAGCTGTCTCATGCCACCAGGTCCACTGCTGGTGTCATAGGGCCTGATTACGGGCCCCATTGCTGCTGCCAGGCCCGTCTCCATCGCCACACTCTGCCATGTGCCACTTTCAGGTCTCCTCACACTGCTGGTGGGTTCCATTTTGTCACAGGGTGCTGGCAGATTACGGGCCTCCCATTGCTGCTGCCAGGCCCGTAATCTGCCATGGGCCCCCGTACCGCCTCCTCATGCTGCTGCCAGGTCCAGAGTGTCTCATGGGTCCCTGTACGGCCTCCCATTGCTGCTGTCTCCATCGCCACACTCTGCCATGTGCCACTTTCAGGTCTCCTCACACTGCTGGTGGGTTCCATTTTGTCATAGGGTGCTGTATGGCCTCCCATTTCTGCTGCCTCCACCGCCACACTGTGGCTCCACACTCTGGTTTTGGCCCCGTGACTGCCCAAATGAGTGAAGTGTGCGGTGATTCTAAGATCGACGGCACTCATCTGCATGTCATACTGACTGACAGTATTATTTCTCTTCCCCAGCAGACTCCAAGGGCATTTAAATTAAAGGTACAGTGTTCTGCACTAATATAAAGGCTCTCTGAAGCCTAGAAACACCCTTTTTATAAGTTAAATTCGCAGCGAATATATTCGACTCGAATCTAATTTATTCCGCGAATTCGCCGAATCAGCCGAATCGAATTTTTGAATACTTCGCTCATCTCTACAGTATGGTGGACGGCTTTGTACATCAGTGTTAGGATTTTTAATTTGATCCGTTGCGCAATCGGAAGCCAGTGGAGGGATTGGCAGAGGGGGGTGGCGGAGATGGAGCGGTTGGAAAGGTGAATGAGTCTGGCAGCCATATTCAGGATGGACTGAAGCGGGAATAGCCAGCGGCGGGGCAGGCCAGTGAGGAGGGAGTTGCAGTAGTCGAGTCGTGATATGATATGGATTGGATGAGCTGTTTAATGGTTTCTGGGGTTAGGAACGTGCAGATTTTGGCGATGTTGCGGAGGTGGAGCCTGCACGAGTTTTGTTAAACATTGGACTTGGGGCTGGAAGGATAGGTTCAGATTTCCTAATACCATGCACACAGTCAAGACATCCAGTGCCTGAAGCAGCAAAGCAACCCCAACACATCAGTGAACCTTCACCATGTTTGACTGTAGGGAGTGGACTCTTTTCTTTAAAGGTCTCATTTCTTTTTCTGAAAGCAGTAGATTGATGAGCTTTACCAAAAGCTGGAATTTTGTTTTGTCTGTCCACAGCACATTCTTCGAAAAGGATTTTGGCTTCCTCGGGTAAGTTTTGGCAAACTCCAATCTGGCTTTTTTATGTTTCCGTGGCAGCAGTGGGGTCCTCCTGGGTCTCCTACCATAGCGTCTACTCATTCAGATGGCGACATATAGTGCAAGCAAATACAGTTGTACCCTGTGCCTGAAGGTCAGCTTGAATTTGTCTGGAAGTTGATCGAGGTTCTTTACCCACCATTCAAACAATCCTATGTTGCAATCTTCAATTTTCTCTTTCATGCGTATCCAGGGAGATTAGCTACAGTACCATGGGCTGTAAACTTCTTAATGTTCCTGTGTCCACTGCACTCAACATCGATAAGATCTTTGGAGATGGACTTGTAACCTTGAGATTGTCCATGCTTTTTTACAATATTTGTTCTCAAATCCTCATATAACTGTTTGCTGCTCTTTCTCTTCTCCATGTGACACACAGAGACACACAACAGAAAGGTTGAGTCAATTTTCCACCATTTTAACTGGTTGCCGGTGTGATATCTATATTGTCAGCACCTGTTATTTGATACAGGGGAGTTTTATTACAATTACAGGAGCATCACAAACTTGGAATGCAATTTATTTATTGAGAAGGTGCCAATTTTGTCCAGTCCATTTTTGGAGTCTTAAGTGGAATGTGTCAGATTTGGCTTTTTGTTTCCCCACATTTTTGTGTGATACCACTACACAAAATAAATAAACATGAGAATTCCTAAACATCTGTGATTGCAACAATTTTCTAGGCGAAGTGGTGCAGGGGGGGGGGGGGGGGGGGGGGGGGTTATCTGACAGAAACGCAGGGGTGCCCATATTTTTGGCCGTGTGTGTGTGTATATACATACATACATACATACACAGTGAAGAAAATAAGTATTTGATCTCCTGCTGATTTTGAATGTTTGCCAACTCACAAAGAAATGATCGGTCTGAAAATCGAATTGTAGGTGTATTGTAACACTGAGAGACAGAATAGCAACAAAAAATTCAAAAGAAATGCATGTCTAACAAATGATGCACTGATTTGCATGTTCATGAGGGAAATAAGTATTTGATCCCCTTTACAAAACATAACTAAGTATTTGGTGGTAAATCCCTTGTTGGCAATCACAGAGATCAACGTTTCCTGTTGGCCACCAGGTTTGCACACATCTCAGGAGGGATTTTGGCCCACTCGGCCACTTCAGCCCTCTTCCTAGATTTTCAAAAGGATTAAGGTCTGGAGACCGGCTAGGCCACTCTAGGACCTTAATGTGCTTCTTCTTCAGCCACTCCTTTGTTGCCATGGACGTGTGTTTTAGGGTCATTGTCATGCTGGAACACCCATCCATGACCCATTTTCACTGCCCTGGCTGAGGGAAGAAGGTTCTCACCCAAGATTTGACGGTACATTGCTCCATCCATCGTCCTTTTGATGCGGTGCAGTTGTCCTGTCTCCTTAGCAGAAAAACACCCCCAAAGCAGAGTGTTTCCACCACCATGTTTGACAGTTGGGATGGTGTTCTTGGGGTCATAGGCAGCATTCCTCCTCCAAACACGGCGAGTTGAGTTGATGCCAAAGAGCTCGATTTTGGTCTCATCTGACCACAACACTTCCCACCAGTCCTCCTCTGCATCATTCAGATGTTCAGTGGCAAACTTCAGATGGCCCTGGACATGTGCTTTCTTGAGCAGAGGGACCTTGCAGGCACTGCAGGATTTCAATCCTTGTTGGCATAGTGTGTTACCAATTGTTTTCTTGGTGACTGTGGTCCCAGCTGCCTGGAGATCATTGACAAGAACCTCACGTGTAGTTCTGGGATGATTCCTCACTGTTCTTGTGATCATTGACACTCCACAAGGTGAGATCTTGCATGGTGCACCAGACCTAGGGAGACTGACAGTTTTGTCTTTCTTCCATTTGCAAATGATTGCACCAACTGTAGTCACCAATCTTGTCCCTGACATCCTTGGACAGCTCTTTGGTCTTTGCCATGGTGGAGTCGAGTTTGAAATCTGATTGTTTGATTGCTCCTGTGGACAGGTATCTTTTATACAGGTAACAAAATGAGATTAGCAGCACTCCCTTTAAGAGACTACTTCTAATCTCCGCTTGTTACCTGTATGAAAGACACCTGGTAGCCAGAACTCCTGCTGAATGATCAAATATTTATTTCCCTCATGAACATGCAAATCAGTGCATAATTTGTTAGACATGCATTTCTTTTGAATTTTTAGTTGCTATTCTGTTTCTCAGTGTTACAATACACCTACCATTCGATTTTTAGACTGATCATTTCTGTCTGAGTGGGTAAAACTTCAAAATCAGCGGTGGGCGGGGGGGAAGAGAGAGAGAGAGAGAGAGACTATATTGCCACAAGTATTGGGACGCGTGCCTTTACACACACATGAACGTTAATGGCATCCCAGTCCGTAGGGTTCAATATTGAGTTGGCCCCGCCCTTTGCAGCTATAACAGCTTCAACTCTTCTGGGAAGGCCAACCACAAGGTTTAGGAGGGTGTCTATGGGAAGGTTTGACCATTCTTCCAGAAGCGCATTTGTGAGGTCAGGCACTGATGTTGGATGAGAAGGCCTAGCTTGCAGTCCTCCACCCTAAACTCGCTCCTCCATGTCTTTATGGTCCTTGCTTTGTGCACTGGTGCACAGTCATGTTGGAACAGGAAGGGGCCATCCCCAAACTCTTCCCACAAAGTTGGGAGCATAAAATTGTCCAAAATATCTTGGTATGCTGTCACCTTAAGAGTTCCTTTCACTGGAACTAGGGAGCCAAGCCAAACCCCTGAAAAACAACCCCACACACTATAATCCCCCCTCCACCAAACTTTACACTTGGCACAATGCAGTCAGGCAAATATTGTTCTCCTGGCAAACGCCAAACCCAGACACGTCCATCGGATTGCCAAACAGAGAAGCGTGATTTCACGCCAGAGAACAGGTCTCCACTCCTCTAGAGTCCAGTGGCGGTGTGCTTTACACCACGGCATCGAACGCTTTGCATTGCACTTGATGTAAGGCTTGGATGCAGCTGCTCGGCCATGGAAACCCATTCCGTGAAGCTCTCTACACACGTTGTTGTGCCAGTCTGAAGGTCACTCAAAGTTTGGAGGTCTTTAGCTATTGACTCTGCAGACAGTTGGTGACTTCTGCGCACTGTGCGCTTAAGCATGCGCTGACCCCACCCTGTCATGTGACGTGGCCTACCACTTGGTGGTTGAGTTGCTGTTGTTCCCAGTTGCTTCCACTTTGTTAATATTCCAACAAAAAAGTGGAGCGTGGAATATTTAGTAGCCAGGAAATGTCACGGATGGACTTATTGCACAGGTGACAACCTATCACAGGACCACGCTTGGAGTCACTGAGCTCCTGAGAGCGACCCATTCTTTCACCAATGTTTGTAGAAGCAGTCTGCATGCCTAGGGGCTTGATTTTATACACCTCTTGCCATGGAGGGGATTGGAACACCTGAATCACATGATTTGGAGGGCGGGCCCAATACTTTTTGCAATATAGTGATATATATATATATATATTCATATACACACACACACCAACACACATAAAAAATACAATGTCCTTTCTTGCTATCCACAGATCAGAAGCAGGTAAGAATCCTATATGAAGTTTGTGCATAAGGTGCATCATTCACCCAAACAGGATCTTTTTTTAGTTCTCAACAAAAGTGCCGTTCTAAGCTAAGAGCTCTTGGAACTCCCCAGCCATCTGGAGTGTCAACAAACACGGATCAGTGATCTTCACTTCCCTGACCTTTACTGAGTGTCATAATACTGATAGGACTGCAAAATCTCTGAAGACAAGAGGTGGCATCACTTGACCGACAGACAATGTATTTTTCACAATTCACAAGTCACCGATAGAGCCGAGGTCCCACTTGACATGAAAGTGCTTCAGTCTAACATAAAAGGGCTTTATCAACTGACACATGCTCACCATTTGGAAGCAGGCAGCAACAGATGAAGAGAAAGAACAGATAGCTGGAAGATTTTAATTTTTCTTGACTTGAGCACCAGTATCATCTCGCTCTATCTTTCTCAGGCTGACTGTCCCTGGTCCGCCCCTCTCATTCAATGGATTTAGATATTCTGATCTGGGAGGCTCAGGATCACCTCTGAACACTGCGTAGGGCAATCTACATGAAAATAAAGCCTGCCTAGAAATACCAACTCTCGCAGACCGACACCCATCCATTAAGGCATGGGTGTCAAACTCCAGCTGTTGCCAAACTACAAATCCCATGAGGCATTGCAAGGTTGACAGTTACAAGCATGACTCCCAAAGGCAGAGGCAGCATGGGTCTTGTTGTTTCGTAACAGCTGGAGGGGCGCCAGTTTGACACCCCTGCATTAAGGCATTGTGATGAACACATATTTTTATGCGTTTGCAGCAGCTCGTATTCGTTATTGTTTCAGTATTCATTGTTTGGCAGCGCTCAATTTTTTATCCCCCTGGATGATGCCTGAACAAAGATGGTGATGTCCTTTTAGAGAGAATTCAGATTAAGACATGTCAGGGGAGTCCTGTGTTCTAATGGATTTAGGTAAGGTACTCTATACAGTACAAGGATCCTGACACTTTATGTATTGTTTTTTATTTCTTATTATGGGACCTCTTGACCAAAGTATTATGTCACAATTTGGGGTGAATATTCATTTTCTCAGAGCTGGAAAGAGTTACTTTGTCTTTTGTGGCTGGCCCAGGAGATTTCCCAGCAACACAGAGAGGAGTCGCCTGCTGGGACAATATGCCATTGTTTATGTTGTCACATTGCATCAGACACTGTTATCAGGTGTTTACTGCAACCATAGTGGAGGCGGAGAACCCATCGGGAGTTTATAAAAAAAAGGCATCAGAGGTGCTAAGCAGGTCCCAAGTCACTCAGCTTCAGGATTCACTTACTAGAGATTATAACAAAGCGAGTGTGTGCAGTGTATGTGAGAGAACAAGACTTAATTTACCAAAACCTGGGACCAGTGACATCACAGAGAATGCAGCCTAGCCATTCACTAGAGACAGGTGACTTGACTGAGACTGCAGCCTATCCATTTACTTTAGACTTGTGACATCACTGAAAATGCAGCCTATCCATTCCCTAGATACCGGTGACATCACCAAGAATGCAGCCGATCCATTCACTAGACTGATGACATCACTGAGAGTGCAGCCGATCCATTCACTAGATACAGGTGACATCTCCAAGAATGCAGCCTATCCATTCACTAGACTGGTGACATCACTGAGAGTGCAGCCTATCCATTGACTAGATACCGGTGACATCACCAAGAATGCAGCCGATCCATTCACTAGACTGATGACATCACTGAGAGTGCAGCCGCTGATCCATTCACTAGATACTGGTGACATCACCAAGAAAGCAGCCTATCCATTCACTAGACTGGTGACATCACTGAGAGTGCAGCCTATCCATTCACTAAGACTGGTGACACCACTGAGACTGCAGCCTATCCATTCACTAGATGCCGGTGACATCACCAAGAATGCAGCCTATCCATTCGCTAGACTGGTGACATCACTGGAATGCAGCCTATCCATTCACTGGAGAGGGTTGACATTGGATTATTCTCAGAAATATTCTCTCATCTTGGCTGAATAATACACATCAGAGAGCCAAAAATACACTTAAAATAATTCTTTGTTAATTTTTCAGCAAAAACTGTCAGAAACCGTTTTCTCTCAGGATTCAGTAAATGGTCCAGAAAAGTTCTAGAAGAGAACATTGAATTTTCCATAGAGCTGTGACACCAGTCTAATCCCTAAACTCGTAAAATGTCTTTGCCATGGCATGTGCCACTTTCAGCACTTTTTTTTCTTTGCCCTCAGACCCCAGGTTGGTTCGGGCCAGCTGGATCCAGTACTGCTCTGTCCGGGCCAGGTAATCTGAGTACTTCTCCTTCGGTTCCACTGCGGGATGCTCGTCATCATCTGTGGACGGGACAAAACATGACATATGGCTTAAAATAAGTCCATACAAGACCTCCACCACAACTGCACATACCCGCTGCACCGCCACTACATTCAACCGCTAAGGGTGAAGGTTAGCCTATGTAGGGTCTACCTCATGACTGCTTGCTCTTTCCACCCCTACACAGCAGCGCTGGGCCAATCACCAAGCATGAAAGGAAGGGAAGCGATTCACATGATCCTCTATACTCAGAGGTATCAGATATTATTAAGGATGCACCGACATTTCAGTGGCCGAAACGTTTCAGCCCGAAAACACCCCTTTCAGTTGTTGGCCAAAATGAAAAAAATCACCGATACAGTTGCTGAAAAAACCTGCCCCTCGCCACTGCCAACCTGCCACTGCCACCACCGCTCGGTAGTTCTCAGCCTTACCTGAGAAACCATTGAACGATCCCGGTGCTGGGCATAGAGATGAGTGAAAGAAAGATGGCCTCCACTCATCTCTATGCCCTTGGAGGACCGGAGCGATGTCACTTCACGTTCCGGCCATTTTTGTTTTTTTTTTAAAGCACTAGATTTTTTTTTTTTTTTTAATTTAAATATTTATTAGTTTTTCATATTATTACAAAAATTCCATAAGAAGAGACACAAAACATATAAATAATCAATACATTTCTACTTTGCCCCCTTCTAATTACCTCTTTTCTTTCCCTCCCCTCCCAACCCACCTCTACCCCCCCACCCCCTCCCTCCCCTCTGCAAGATCTCCAATCTCTCAAGACCCAATAACTTTAAATAATTTCCTAGTTTAAAATTTTCTATATTTCTCTTTCATTCCTGATTTTTCCCATTTTTCCCATCGCGAATAGTATATTTCCAACCTGTCTTCCTGCATATAGTAAGATTTTTCCATTCTGCTAATCTGGTTTACCCTATTGATCCAATCCTCCTCCATCGGCACCTCTGTCTTCCGCCAAAACTTAGGTATCAACCCTTTTGCAGCACTTAAGTAGTACCATACGCCTGATTCTTTATATTTATTTACTGTTGTCTCAACATTATGTAGGAGACACATGGTTGGGTCTAACCCTATGTCATTTCCAGTTATTATTTCTATTAATTTAACTATTGTCTTCCAGAAAACCTGAATTTTTGGACATTGCCACCATATGTGGAACACCGTGCCCTCCTCCCCACATCCTCTCCAACACATTTTTGAATTCTCCCCACTCATCTTGTGCTCAGTGCTCGGTGTAATATGCCATCGTGTCAGACATTTATAGTTAATCTCAACGTCTCTCATACTAACACTCTCGTGTACCAATCTAAATATCTTATTCTGTTGACCCTCATCTATCACCACCTCCATATCTCTTTCCCAAATTTTATAAAAAATTAACTTTGTGTCCGTGTCTAATTCTGTGAGGATCCTATAAATTTTTGTAACACCGTGTTTCCCATCCCTACGTGTTTCTAATAGCCTTTCAAACAAATTCCACTCCTTTTTTAATCTCAAGGGTTTTGGGAGATTTCCAATGAAACATTTTAATTGGTGATATTTCCACTCATCTATTCTATTAAACATATCCCCCCCCCCCCTCTCTTTTAATTCTTTAAATGTTCTCAATTCCCCCTCTACCAATACATCTCTCAATTGGATATCTTCTTTTTTTAAACCATCTCCCTGATATCTCATCCTTTCCTGGAGGAAAAAACTCTGTGTTTGCAAGTGGCATTAATATAGAGTTGAATTCCCATTTCATGTGTTTATGTAAATTATCCCATGTCCTTAAAACATTTAAAGTGAAAGTGCTTGTGTTTTCTTTAATTCTTCTATATTGTGCTGGGACCCATATCATCTTACTCAAACTAATTCCACTCAGTTCGTTTTCTATTTTTACCCAACTTTTTCCCTTATGGTTAAATGTCCAGTCATATATTCTCGCTAAAATTACTGCTTTATAATATCTCTTGACATCAGGTAGTCCCATTCCCCCTTTCTCTTTAGTCCTACTTAATGTTTCGTATGATATTCTTGGTTTTTTATTCCTCCATATATATCTTGTTAACATTCTTCTCATTATCTTAAAAAAACGCCTCTGGGAGTTTAATTGGGACCATTTGAAATCTATAGAGTATTTTAGGTATAATTACCATTTTAACTAGGTTTATATACGTCCTAACCATGATGGATTTCCTCCTTCTAATCTTTTTAATTCATCCTTAGTCTCGTTTATCAAGAAATATAGTTTAATCTATACAGTTGTTTATATGAAGTAGCCAGTTTTATTCCTAGGTATTTTATATCTTTTTTCTCTCCATATAAAGGGGAATTCTTTTTGTAACTTTTCTTTTTCGCTCTTTGGTATATTGATGTTCAGAATCTCTGTTTTTGTTGGGTTAATTTTTAGATTTGATAGTTCACCATACTCCTTCAGGGTCTTCATTATACTTGGTAATGTTATTCGGGGGGTTGCCTACATAAAACAATAGGTCGTCCGCAAAGGCCGCTACCTTATGTTTCTATATTTTCTATCTGGATTCCCTTTACCGCTCCACTATTCCTTATTATTGACAACAAGGGTTCCAATGTCAAAACGTACAACAGGGGGGACAATGGGCAGCCCTGTCTTGTTCCATTGGACATCCCAATGGATTCCGACCTCTCCCCATTTACCGTAATGATTGCGGTGGGCTCCCTATATAATTTACCTATCCACTCCCGCATTCTCTCTCCGATCCCCAGCACTTCCAAGTTGTCCATCATAAAGCCCCAGTCCACTCTATCAAACGCCTTTTCGGCATCAATTGACAAGAGCACCACCGGGGCTTTTCCTTTTCTACTTTTCTGAATAAGCATTAAAGTTCTCAACCCGTTGTCTCTACCCTCTCTCCCTGGGACAAAGCCCACCTGATCTCCATGGATCCATTCAGGCATTAGTTCTTTCAGCCTGTTTGCTAGAACCTTTGCGTACAACTTGGTATCAGTGTTCAATAATGAAATTGGTCTATAGCTAGAGCACTGAGAAGGATCTTTTCCCTCCTTATGAATGAGAACTACATGGGCCTGAAGGGATTCCCTCCTCCCCTCCATCCCACCTCCCAAGTCATTCATATACTTCTTCAGCTTCGGTAACAGTAATTCACTAAATTTTTTATAGTACTTAACTGTATAACCATCCGGGCCAGGGCTTTTCCCACCCCCTGTACTTCTTAATGCTGCTTCTATTTCTTCCTGGGAAATTTCCGCGTCCAAGGAATTCAATTGTGTTTCACTGAGCTTAGGTAATCCCGCATTTTTTTAAATATATCATCCTTTTTTCGTTAATACCTTCTCTAATTTCTTTTGGTGCACCTTGATGACTGACTAATGTTATATAACTTTCTATAATACTCCGTGAATACTTTAATAATTTCTTTAGTTGAGTGGACCAACTCCCCCTTAGGACTTTTTATCTTTTCTATATAATTCCTGTTTTTCTTTTTATTCAGGGCTCTCATTAAGTATTTTCCTGGTCTATCTCCCCATCTATATCTTTCACTTAATACTTTGTTATATATACTCCTCTCCTCTTCCATCAGTCTCTCTAGCTCGTCTTTTTTATCCTTTAACTTCTGTCTTGTTTCTATTGTTATTTTCTTCTTATGTATCTGCTCCAAGTCCAGGATTTCCTTTAGGAGTCCACTAACCCTCTCTCTCTCTTTCTTTTTTTTTCCTTGCTCCCATCGCAATCAAGATTCCTCTTATATATACCTTATGGCTTTCCCATACTGTAGCTGTCGATACTTCCTCTGTCTCATTCTCCTTGAAATATACTTTAATCTCTTCCCTGATCTTCTGCGCAATATCCTCATCCAAGAGAAGAGCCTCATTTAACCTCCATCCTAAGCCCTCCCGTCCACCTTCTTCCCCATCCTATTTTCATTATGACAGGGGCATGATCCGAGAAAGTTCTTGTCTCTATTTCTATTTTAACCAACAGTTCAATGAGTTGATGATCTATCAAAAAGTAATCCAGTCTCGAGTATATCTCATGTGCATTAGAGAAGAAGGTATAGTCTCTGTCTTTCATATGCATTATTCTCCAGGAGTCCACCAGTTGGTACTCGTGGATCACCTTCTTCAAAGCTCTCAGAGACCTACCCCCCCTCTCTCTGCACAAGGGAGGTTGCATCCTTTTGTGGGTCCATACAAAGATTTAAATCTCCTGCTATTATTAAACGCCCTTTTTTAAAATCAATCAATTTTTTCAGCAGACCCTTCAAAAAGATCTCCGGTTTTTTGTTGGGGCAATATATATTGGCTAGTGTACACTCAATTCCCTGTAGTTTACCTTTCAAAAACAGGAATCTCCCCTCCGGATCAGTCTTTCTCTCTCTTCCAGCTCAAATCTCATATTCTTTGCCAAGCCTATTGCCACCCCCTTTGCTCTTTTAATTGGAGAGTCAGCGTAATACCATGTTGGGTAATATTTAGATTTTAGTTTCACGTTTGACTCTATCTCAAAGTGTGTCTCCTGTAAAAATACCACTGACGTTGCCCTGTGATGTAACTCTTTAAACAACTTAAATCTTTTCCCAGGACAATTCAACCCATTCACATTATATGTTATAAACTGTATTTCTTCCATCCTTCATGAGTCTGTCTATCTTTCTTCTAAATCGTCTCTTCCTATTAGGCCCAACTGTCTTGCAGAGTATTAGCCCCGTAACCCCTCCCCCCCCCCCCCCACCCAACCCCTATATCCCCCACCCCCCTCTCTTATTTTCCCCCTACCCATTTTTAGGCTTATAAACTGCCTACAAATCATTTGTGGAACTGTTTCCACGGTTGATTTAAAATATTGGGCGTAAGCTCCGCCCATGGGCGGCTCACCCTCTCCTCCGACCTCCCCAGCTCCCCTTTCTCTATCAACTGGGCTCTGCAATACCTTTACTTCCCCCCTTTAACCGGAGCTTCCAGAGGGACCTCCGCTTCTACAGGGGGGATACGAGGGGGGGTGAGGAGAAAAGAGAGAGAGAAGAAGAAAAGCATATATTTTACTTAATTCTCCCCCCCCCCCCTCCCCCCAACCCCAAGGCCTCCCTCCCCCTCCCCCCCAACCCGCTGCCAGTCCTCCTTTCTTGCATTAACCGTATCTCCCTTTTTCTTCTTCTTCCTACCCAGCTATCTCCATTCTTTGCAAGTCCAGTCTATCGCAAAAATCTCTCAGTTCGTCCGGGAATCTCAGATATGCTGTGACCCCATTTGTCCAGCCAATTAGAGATACTGAGGTACCCCATCTATATTGCACTTTCTGTTTTCTCATTTGCTCCAACAGGGGTTTCAGGGATCTCCTTCTCCATAGAGTCTCTGATGTTAAGTCCGCAAAAATTTGAATAGTCCAATCTCTATACTTAATTAATGATCTTCCCTTGATCTTCTTCCAAATCTCATTTTTGACCCCAAATTTCTGGAACTGGACAACGATATCTCTCGATCTTTCCCTCTCAGTCTCTTGTTTAAACTTTCCTATTCTGAACACTCCGTCCCAGTTCAATCACATCTGTTTCAGGTCTGTCTCTTATGGAGTTTAAGATTTTATTAACTAGTTCATATAATGTTTCCCCTTTTACAGACTCTGGAATTCCTCTCATCCTGAGATTACACCTTCTTTCTTTATTTTCTTGAATTTCCATCCTATAGAGCAATTTTTTCTGGGTTTTCTCCAAATGGGTTGTTTTTTTTCCTTAGATTATCTATGGTTTGGGCCTGGGTTTTAACTTTCTCCTCTATTTCTTCCATTCTCGACAGCAAATGCCCTAAGTCGTTTCGAATAACTGTCATTTCATGTTTTATCATTTTCTCCAAACTTTGAAACATTTCTGTCATCTCCTTCTTATTCGGTACTTGTAGTTCACCATCAAGCTCTTTTTTTCCCAAGCCATCCTCTATTTGTTGGCTTCTACTGCTGTTCATACCCAATGACAATCTAGGACTATTTCCGGATCTAGTGTCCATTTCCCCTTTAGCACTGTCGCCTTGGGGCCTTTCTGGGGTAATATTACCGTATGATGTAAATTTCCTTAGCGTGCCTGATTGAGACCCTTTGAGCCCTGCTCCCTTAGGACCTTTATTCTTCATATCCTCTATATATCTTTTGTCTTCTATATGCTCTAGATGGGGGTGTACCTCTCCTTTATGGTTTGTGCTCCAGACAGGTTTGCAGATTTTCCTTGTGTTTTGCTCTCCTGGGGCACCTGGGGCTTTTCTCTTCTAAACCCAGGGAATCCTCCTCTCTCCTCCTTGACCCCTTGATCCCCAATGTCACTCAGTAGTCCACTGCACAATAGACCCCCCACAGCTCTCACTCACCCTTCTCTTCCCAAGACGGTGGCTCCAAGCATGAGTGGAGGGCCTTCACATCAGCTCTGTCCTGGGGGGGGGGGATTCCTCTGGTCTTCCCACGCTATGCCTGGTTTTTCCTCTCTGGGCTTCGTCCCAGGGATGCAGGGTGGGTCTCCTAATACTCCCGGGTCTCTCCGGATTGAACAGTCTACTGGCCGGGGGCCGCAGGCAACAGCAAGTCAGGAGACACGGCCAGTAACAAGCCGGAGGTTGTAGGCAGCAATAAGCCGGGGGTTATGGGCAACAGGGAGCCGGTAACAGTAAGCCGGCGTCTCCCTGTCTCATCAGGCGGCCGGCCGGCTTCTCCCAGAGATCCTCCGCGGTTGCATACACGCCCCCCGCCACGTCACCTCGCATCCCAGCCGTCCGGATCCCTCTCTCACGAGGCGCCGGAGGAGCCGGCGCGTCACTGCAGCCTCCGTCCAGCTCCCATCTCCGTCTCTCCGGGCTCCATTCCAAGCGCTCCAGACTCCGGTGAGTCGTTCTCTAAGGGTCACTAGGGAGGTCGGGAAGCGGGACCTAGCCGAAAGCTAGTGCGCTCGCTCCCCTCAGCCGCCATGTCCAGGCTCCACCCACTCAGCAATTTTTGGTTGTAACCTTAGAAATTCAGCATTGTACACCTGCTTAAAGCACTAGATTAATGCTTTTTTTTATCTAATGCTTTATATTGCAGAGAAGAGATGTGGGGTCTTATTGACCCCATATCACTCCATAAAGAGGACCTGTCACTAATTATTTCTATCACAAGGGATGCATGCATTTCTTGTGATAAGGATAAAAGTGATTAAAACATTTTTTTAAAGGAACAGTGCAAAAAAAAAATAAAAGTTTAAAGTGCCCCCATCCCTCGTGCTCGCACATAGTGGTGAACACATACGTAGGCCATGCCCACATATGTAAATGGTGTTCAAACCACACACGTGAGGTATCGCCACAAACGTCAGAGCAAGAGCAATAATTCTCGCAGTAGACCTCCTCTGTAATTTTACACTGCTAACCTGTAGAAATTTTTAAAGCATCACCCATGGAGATTTTTAAGTACTGCAGTTTCACGCCATTCCACGAGCGTACGCAATTTTGAAGCGTGACATGTTGGGTATCCATTTACTCAGTGTAACATCATCTTTCATATTTTACAAAAAAATTGGGGTAAATATTTTTTTTTTTTTTTTAATCAGTGTATTTTTAAAAAAAAAAATATATATATTCATTTTTAAAAACTGCGCATTTCAGTTTCGGTTTTCAGCCAAGTGCATTTTGAATTTTCGTTTTTGGCACCAGAATTTTTATTTCGGTTTACCACTACATATTATACTACCGATTGCCGAAATGAACAGCGGAGGAGGCAGATCACTTTAACTTGGGGTCCTATAAGGCTGTGAAAATCTATGAAACACATACAAAAATGTCATCATACCACTGTCCTCCTCGCTTTCATCATCTTCATCCTCTTCTTCCTCTGCTCCTCCCTCTGCGCCTTCTGTCTCTCCTTCGTCATCACCGTCAGAGTCCGATTCATCAAGCCACTCTTGTGTCTCTGTTTAGAGAAAAAACAGACAGAAAATACATTACTGCTTAGTGGAATTATTCTTGACATCAGTAGTGGTCAACATACTAGATACTCAGCTGCAGCCCCCGATACACATAGGGGGACATAATATTCAGTTTATGTAATGTTAGGAAGGACGGTCAGACTGGGGATACATTGCTGGAGATGGTCAGAGACTGCTGACTAGCTACCGCTGTAGTTGAAGGCTGGAAATATACAGTAGACTACTGGAGACTGGTTAACCTCATCCTACTAGAAACAGGTTGGAGTACTGTAGGTGGTCTATGGAGCCAAACACACATTACAGCAGCTGTAGTCATGTAACATCCTTCTCTTTTATAAAGGGTTGTCTTAGGTGCCTTTTAACATTTCTAACTAATCATACAACAGGAAAGAGGTCAAAAGAAAACTAGAAAAAAAAAAAAAAAAAGACAAGATGGAGTTAAAAGCAAGCCACGAGGCACTGGTGGTTTTTTATACATAATCCCTTCTGGTAGTGTGCACCCTCGTAGCTGCTGATCACAAACCGGCCCCCTGCTTGCCCCCACTGTTTTCCACATGCCCAATCGGTGGAGCCAGGATAAGCATGGTTGATGCCACCGGGTAGAAGGGAGAGAAATCCATTCGCCGATTTCCCCTTCCTGATAATGTCCTGAAAGCGACGTGTAAAACATCAGTTCCAATGGGATGTTTTCTCTAGGGCGTGCTATAGTGGCTTTAAACCTTGACTGACCCGCCCCTTCCTCCCATGGCTCCTTTTAAGCCTTGGTCTGCCTTGGGACAGTACTATGTTCTGAGTTGTCTTCGGTATTTTATATTGCCCACTCTTCCCGCACCCTTTTGGGACTGTTTGGCTGGGAGCTATAGGATGGGGAGTTGGGACTGCATTGTCCCGTTGCTCAGGACAGGCTTATACTATGATACTTGTTGGTTTTTGTATCCTGTATATTACTTCTTTTATATAAATGTTTTCATTGTACACTTCCTCCAGCTGCATACTAGAGAACCAGTGAGTGCGAGTTTGAGATGTTTATATTGTTTTCTTTGGTATGTCCCTGAATTACTATTGTTTTTATTTTGGCATACGATATACCCACTTTTGTTTTCTGGTCAACTTGGTGAAGCGTCTTTAATAAAGATATTTGTGGAAAAAAAACATCACTTCCGGGTCCTGATGCCTCTTTGCCCAGTCAGTATGGCTGGAGAAGAAGCTAAAGGAGCAGAATTTGTGCTTCATTAGAGGACAGGTAAAACATCAGAGGTTTTTTAGGCCCCTGATGTCTAACTAAAGAGAACCTGTCACCAAAGCAATTAACCATTTGCCGCCCGGCCAATGGCCGTTTGGCGGCGGCAAAAGTGCTTCTGCATTCCGGGTGCACGCCATTTGGCTTGCTCCCGCACATGCTCAGTTCGCGCAACTGCAGAGCGGCACAGCGACGCGATCTGTCACCGGCCGGCCATGTACCTCGGACACGGCCGATGACAGATCTGAGTACCGGCCCCCGTTGCTGGTACCATGTGACCTGATGTGACCAATCACAGCAGGCCACATGACAGTTGTATACAATGGATGGCTTCATTCATGCCATCCATTGTATACTAGTGCCTAGCTGTGAATGGTCACAGCTAATCACATGCACATGTCATGTGATTAGCTGTGACCAAATCACAGCGAAGCACAAAAAAAAAAAAAAAACTGAATGAATCGATTTCATTCTGGTAAATGCTTGCTTATAGCAAAGTAATTCTTTGCTATAAGCAAATTATGTAAAAAAAAAAAAAAAAATACTGATCACTTCCCCAAAGTAGTACAATGTTACTATGGTAACATTGTACTACTTTGGTCATCGTAAAATCTTAAAAAAAATCTTTAAAAAAATAAAAAAAAATGTAATAAAAAATTAAAAATAAAAAAATAAACAAAAAAAAATATATATTTTTTTTTCTCCATACTGTCACCAGTCAGTGTCCCTGTTCACCGCCATGCCAGTTATATGATGACGCTGTACTGCACTGGTGACAGTATGTAAAAAAAAAAAATATTGTGAAAAATAATTTTTTTAATTTTTCCATTTTCCAAAAAAATTATGACAAAAAAAACACAACTTCAAAAAACTCGCCATGCCTCTTATGAAGTACGTCGGACTGTCTACTCTGCAAAAAAGGGGTTATTTGGGGGATATCTGTACTGTTCTGACATTCTTGGACCTCAAGAAATTAGATTGGCCGTCAGTACTTCAGGATTGATCAATATTCAGATCTATCCCATAGTTTGTGAACTCTATAACTTTCCTACAAACTAAAAAATACATCCTAATTTGGGTTATTTTCACCAAAGACATGTAGCAGAATACATCTCGGCCTAAATTTATGAAGAACAATTATTTATTTGTAAACTTTTATAACAGAAACAAAGAAAAACGTGTTTTTTTTTCAAAATGTTTGGTCTTTTTTTGTTTAGCAAAAAATAAAAACCCCAGCGGTGATTAAATACCACCAAAAGAAAGCTCTAGTTGTGTGAAGAAAATGATAAAATTTTAGTTTGGGTACAATGTTGTATGACCGCGCAATTGTCATTCAAAGTGTGAGAGCGCTGAAACCTGAAAACTGGCCTGGGCAGGAAGGTGTAAAATTGCATGGTATTGAAATGGTTAACACATAGCGGACCTTTTGTACCAAAATTTGTCACGGTTTCATGGGTGTACACAATTGTAAACCTTGACATGTTGGGTAGCTATTTAATGGCACAACCTCACAGAACCACGCAGCTTGCACCTTCAGAAGAGGTGAGCTGTAGCAGTTTCCATGTTTCCTTTTTTCCACGTAGTTTGGCGGTTGTTTATGCAAGTTATGTATGTGCTGTTCACAGTAACCATTCATATTCTTCATTTCAGAGGAAGCTGTGTAGTACTATCTCCTTACTTACTTGGGTCCATTTCCACCAACACTTTCCATTCCTCATCCATCTTGTGAAGGTCAAGGCAGTAGAAGTCATTCAGCGTGAACTGGCGGTCGCCAACCTCAAACATTCCTCCATACACATAAAGGAGCCCCTGCCTGACGGTGATCATGGTGTTGGAGCGTGGGCACGGCTCTACCCGTGGCCCTGTTGTCTCTTCCTTCTCATCCTCTTCTTCTTCGGCACTGTCCTCCTGGTCACTAGCTGGTCCTGCCTGGCTGGAGATCACCTGCTTGATGGTCATCACAGTCCCATCTTCAGCCACAACCTCCTTGATGATTTCTATGGGTTCTGCGGGGTACTGAGCAGATGCCTCGTCACTGCCAGCTAATTCAGCCTCTACGCTCTTGTCACCGCGCCGCCTCTTCCTTCGCTCTGATTTGGGGCCCTGAAATAATATGGGACACAGGTTTGTACAGACTATGGTTCTAACAGATCTCTAGAGACAACAGTCAATGACAGCATGAACATGAGATAACCACTCCCTTACCCCAAGCTTAAAAAGTGAGTTCTCAAATAGTTTACAGATTTTCTAAATTCAGCCTTTAAAAATGTGTGACTTTATTGCTGTATAAAACAAGGAGGGCCTAGAGAAGTTCAGTTGGTCCTTCCAGTTAGCGTTCATTGCCGCTGCTTAAGACTACAATTCCCATCATGCAATGTGAATTGTTGTATTCAATAGGTGTACCCACATTCCAGAAACCTTGAGTGGCAAAGGCAACCAGAAATCTAGCTCAAGGTAGGTTGTCATGGTGGGTGGGACAGATCAGTAACCTCCTGAGTACGATGTCATGGTGGATGGGACAGATCAGTAGCCTCGTGAGTATGATGTCATGGTGGGTGGGACAGATCAGAAGCCTCCTGTCTTGTCAATCAAGGTATGATGTCATGGTGGGCTGGACATATCAGTAGCCTCCAGGCCTGTCAGTCAAGGCATGATGTCATTTTGGGTGGGACAGTTCAAGAGCCTCCTGGGTACGATGTCATAGTGAGTGGGACATATCTGAAGCCTCCTGGTTTGTCAGTCAAGGTATGATGTCATGGTGGGGTGGAACAGAGCAGTAACCTCCTGAGTATGATGTCATGGTGGGTGGGACAGATCAGAAGCCTCCTGTCTTATCAATCAAGGTATGATGTCATGGTGGGCTGGCCATATCAGTAGCCTCCAGGCCTGTCAGTTAAGGCATGATCTCATGGTGGGTGGGACAGTTTAGGAGCCTCCTGGGTATGATGTCATAGTGGGTGGGACAGATCTGAAGCCTCCTGGTTTTTCAGTCAAGGTATGATGTTATGGTGGGTGGGACAGATGAGGTGTCTCCTGTCTTGTCAGTCAAGGTATAATGTCATGGTGGATGGGACAGATCAGGAGTCTCCTCGCTTCTTACCAGGGTATGAAGTCATGGTGGGCGGGACATATCAGTAGTCTCCTAGTTTGTCAATCAAGATATGATGTAAAGGTTGGTGGAACACAGCAGTATCCTGGTCTGTCAGTCCAGTTAGGCAGTAATGTTTACCCGTATTAGGCAGGAATGACGCACTGTTGTCACTATCAGGAGAACTGCCCTATGAAATGCCAAGCAGCCATGGCTGGAGTACCTGTAGATAGGAATTGGCTGCAGGAGATCAGCAGCAATGAGATGCAAAGGATAAGAACAAGTATTTTATATTTTGTTTTTTTTTTTGTTAGCTGCTTTGCAAGGCACTGGGGGTTTAATAAACTCCTAATGTCTTCATAAAGAGGACCTGTCATCTGTCCAATGCTATCACAAGGGGGCCTGGTTTTTTAAAAAAAGTTTAATAAACAAAAATAATTTTAAAAAATGAAAAAAAAAAAAAAAAGCACCCCTGTCCCTTCAAGCACACACAAATACAAGCAAGCACGTAGGTCCATCATGCATATGTAAATGGCGATTGTACCACACAAATGTGAAGTATTGGCTCAAACATCACAGGGAAAGCAATAATTCTAGGCCATGATTCAAAATGAACTCTAAACTGATAAACTTGTAACGGTTTTAACGCGTTGTCTATGAACAATTTTAGTTACCCTAGTTTGTCGCCATTTTACAGGCGTGCGCCATTTTAAATCTTGACATGTTTGGAATTTATTTACTTTAAACATCATATTTTATGTTTTACTATAAAAAAATTGGGTATTGTGCTTGTGTGCACTGCAATTAATTTAAAGGTATTTTTTCCCCAGAAAATTAGCATTTGATAAATAGCTGTGCAAATACCATATGACAAAAAAATTTCATCATCCACTAATTTATTCTCCGGGGCTGTCAAAAATGAATGGGGGTTCTACGTAATCTTCGAGCAAAAATGCTGATTTTAACAAGTGTGTGCAAGACTTAAAAATTGCCCCAGACAGCAAGTGATTTTCAACCACTCCATCTTACGTTTCAATTACAGAGAGAGAGTCTAAAAGCAAACAGGTTCTCTCTTTAGAAAACCCACAAAGCTCTGTAAAATCCAGTGTCACCTGGCTTATAAATATTTTTACCATTTAACATTTTGAAACTATTTCATCACACGTTGTTCCCAAAGGTTGGTCATACATGCTGGAACTTGTAGTTCTTTTCCAGCTCATTGCCAATCCCCCAGGGTAACCCAGCACTGACCTGAAATTAACTGGACATTCAGACTTACTTTAAGTTGGCCAGCAAACCAGCGATTCTTTGCCTGATCATAAAAGTAGATGTCATTGAAGAAATCCCCTTCGATACTTTCCTCCTCTTCCTCATCAAAGACACCCCCAAAGAGAACACTTCGGTTGTTAACGCCAACCGCCATGGCAAAACCTGTCCGAGGGTTAGGCTTCACACCAGATGGGTTTAGCCTGGTCCAAGTCCATTTATCTGGAAAGGAAACAAAAAGGTGTTGGATTCAGACTGTGGAAGAAACAGCAATGTTGCTGTGAGCTGCATTGTGCATGAGCAACTGGGGGATCTGGACATACATATCATCACACCATGTGTGTGTAACAGTTGGATGTTGTAAAAATACCTCCTGCAGAAGCTGTTTGTCATTGTTTATGAACATTGATCAGAGGGTAGATAGAGAGATACAAAGTAAACTTTGTGTAAAAAATTGATCAAAGGATCAGGAGATGGAGAGATGCAAAGTAACATTGTTTATAAACATTGATCAGACGGGAGATGGAGAGATGCAAAGTAACATTGTTTATAAACATTGATCAGACGGGAGATGGAGAGATGCAAAGTAACATTGTTTATAAACATTGATCAGACGGGGATGGAGAGATGCAAAGATTGATTGATGCGGGAGATGGAGAATGCAAAGTAACATTGTTTATAAACATTGATCAGACGGGAGATGGAGAGATGCAAAGTAACATTGTTTATAAACATTGAACAGATGGGAGCTAGAAATGCAAAGTAACATTGTTTATAAACATTGCAGATGGGAGATAGAGAGATGCAAAGTAACATTGCTTATAAACAATGTTACTTTGCATCTCTCTATCTCCCGTCTGATCAATGCTTTTAAATCCTGTATAATAATTTATAAGCATTGATCAGACGGGAGATAGAGAGATACAAAGTAACATTGTTTATAAATATTGATCAGATGGGATATAGAGATTTGCAAAGTAACATTGTTTATAAACAATGTTACTTTACTTTGCATCTCTCTATCTCCCATCTGATCAATGTTTATAAATCCTGTATAATAATTTATAAACATTGATCAGATGGGAGATGGAGAGATACAATGTAACAGTGAGAGCTGAAGTGGGTAATAGAATTTGATGGACGATCAGGCACCGATATGGACAAACGCCGTCAGAGGAGAGGGATGGGTGGAGTGTGACTACCGCTTGTCTAAGTTTTGTGAGGGACACTGAAATTCTCATTTCGACTTTTCATTTAGAGTTAAAGGGTTGCGAAGAGGCCCGGAGCTCACTCAGCACTTGTGACCAGAGTACGCACCAGAGCACAGCTTGAGGCTTTTGAGTGGTGACTTATCTGGTTAAGTGTAGAACTACAAGTTCCAGCATTCTTGACTGTAAAAAAAAAGTCCACCACTAACAAGCAAGATGGATGGGAAGGCTACAGTACAAGTGTGACCTCCTCCCCCTCTATCTCTCTGGCGGCCCAATTGTTCCACTAATACAATTTTCATCTTTTTTTTTCCTTTTCCTTTTCTTGAAGCGTCTAAGTGCGTCCCAAAGCTTAATCACCCGTGTCCATCCATATGCTCCCTTTAATGTCTGCGGGCCCACGGGATGTGTGTGTATTCAGATGAAACAGCGGATCATCTGGTTAACATGGCCACTCAACATTCCCCCTTTTATACTAAGATGCAGATTTAGAGTATTAAAGCATGACCGGGTAAGAAGTGAAGCACAGGCTGCTAACCCCGTCCAGCAATCATTGCAGCCGTGCGGAAGATAGGAAGGTATACTTGATTTCTGTAAAAGCTGACCATCAGCCTTCCCTCCAGTCCTGCTTAGTTGTACCGGCTCCTCTCCGAGACCGAAATAGCTTACTCCGATTTCACTGCACACTGTGAGCTTCTCACAATGTGCATTACAAGCTGCAGCAAGTCAGATAGAGCTCCGCCTCATTTCCAGGCTGGAGAACGTCCAGCATCATCTAGCTCTTTCCTCCTCAGCCTGATTGTCCCTCACCTGCCCATTTAATTGTTTGGATTTCAGTTCTTTCAATTATAGAGGAGCGGCATCACATGTGGTTGTGTATGCAAATATAGTCTGCCTAAGAAGGCCTACTTCTCCAGCATGACACCCATCAATCAAGGTATTTTCATATTTGCACCTTTCCACCCATTGACACCAGTGATGGGGTACTATTCCTCCCACTGACACCAATGATGGGGCACTATTCCTCCCTCTGACACCAAACATGGGGCACTATTCCTCCCATTGACACCAATCATGGGGCACTATTCCTCCCACTGAGAACAACAATGGGGCACTATTCCTGCCACTGACATCAATGATGAGGCACTATTACTTTCACTGATACCATGATGGGGCACTATTCCTCCCACTGACACCAATGATGGGCACTATTCCTCCCACTGATAGCAACGATGGGGCACTATTCCTCCCACTGATACCAATGATGGGGCACTATTCCTCCCACTGATACCAATGAAGGGGCATTATTCCTCCCACTGATACCAATGATGGGGCACTATTCTTCAATGACACCACTGGGGCACTATTCCTTTCAATGACACCGATGGGGCACTATTCCTTTCAATGACACCGATGGGGCACTATTCCTTTCACGGACACCGATGGGGCACTATTCCTTTCACTGACACCGATGGGGCACTATTCCTTTCACTGACACCGATGGGGCACTATTCCTTTCACTGACACCGATGGGGCACTATTCCTTTCAATGACACCGATGGGGCACTATTCCTTTCACTGACACCGATGGGGCACTATTCCTTTCACTGACACCGATGGGGCACTATTCCTTTCAATGACACCGATGGGGCACTATTCCTTTCAATGACACCGATGGGGCACTATTCCTTTCAATGACACCGATGGGGCACTATTCCTTTCAATGACACCGATGGGGCACTATTCCTTTCAATGACACCGATGGGGCACTATTCCTTTCAATGACACCGATGGGGCACTATTCCTGGCACTGATACCAGTGAGGGGCACTATTCCTCCCACTGATACCAATGATGAGGCATTGTCAGGGAAAGAACTGTGATAATAAAATACTTGGAAGGATTACACTGACCCTGTCACAATCCGGGTCATGATGCAGCAACATACAAAATAAACCATGAAGTTAGTATAATCAGAGTAACTATGCAGCAATATGAATAAATGCACATGTAAGATGATGCTGTTGCAAACCTATTATACCTCATACAAAGGAAATAGATGTTTTTTTTTGCTGAATAAGCACATTAGTTGCCTGCTGCGAGTCCCTGGAGATTCTCCCCTCCCCCACCAGGCTTGCTGTCTCCCAAGATACAGCATGTCACCAGCACCCTGCTGCTCCTTCTAATTACTGGTTGGCAAGCCTGGCATCCAGCAGTTCACCACCTGATGTTTGTTTTGTGGGCTGCATGAACAAGGCATCAGCCCACTGGTGAAATTATAGCGTGCCTCTTGCAGAGGACGAGAGTCGATTACATAACACGCAGGGAACAGGCGAGCATTTATTATATCACTTCAGCCACGAATGTTGACACGAAAGCAGTGGTATATGTATAGGGGTCCTCCTCAAAATGTGGCCACTGATACCTTCAAAGGGCCATATATAATATAATATTCAATATAGGTAAAGCTAAAAGGAAAACTGTCAGACAGAAGACCTACCAAAGGAAATGGTTAGGAGACTGTTTTACGGACGTGGTTGGAGAGTGAATTCCTGCTATAGGACATTGTTCTCCAAACTGCGGCCTTTTCCTTGCCTTTATCTGACCCTGGGTTTCGTTTCTCCCACTGATATGAGGTACGATTCCTCCTGCTTACACCAATGATGGGGCACTATTCCTTTCTCCTGCTGACACTAACGATAGGGCACTATGCCTTCCACTGACACCGACGACGGGGCTCTATTCCTTCCACTGACACCGACGACGGGGCTCTATTCCTTCCACTGACACCGACGACGGGGCTCTATTCCTTCCACTGACACCGACGACGGAGCACTTTACCTTCCACTGACACCGACGACGGGGCACTTTTCCTTCCACTGACACCAACGACGGGGCACTTTTCCTTCCACTGACACCAACGACGGGGCACTTTTCCTTCCACTGACACCAACGACGGGGCACTGTGCCTTCCACTGACACCAACGACGGGGCACTGTTCCTTCCACGGACACCAACGATGGGGCACTGTTCCTTCCACGGACACCAACGATGGGGCACTGTTCCTTCCACTGATACCAATGATGTGGCAACTATTCCTTCCACGGATACCAATGACAGGGCACTAATATTAACTCCCACTGATACCAATGATGGGGTGCTAATCTTTCCTCCCTTTGATACCAGTGACAGGGTATTATTGTTCCCACTGATGCCAATGAGGGGTTACTATTCCCCCCACTGATGCCAATGATGGGGCACTATTCCCCCCACTGATGCCAATGATGGGGCACTATTCCCCCCACTGATGCCAATGATGGGGCACTATTCCCCCCACTGATGCCAATGATGGGGCACTATTCCCCCCACTGATGCCAATGATGGGGCACTATTCCCCCCACTGATGCCAATGATGGGGCACTATTCCCCCCACTGATGCCAATGATGGGGCACTATTCCCCCCACTGATGCCAATGATGGGGCACTATTCCCCCCACTGATGCCAATGATGGGGCACTATTCCCCCCACTGATGCCAATGATGGGGCACTATTCCCCCCACTGATGCCAATGATGGGGCACTATTCCCCCCACTGATGCCAATGATGGGGCACTATTCCCCCCACTGATGCCAATGATGAGGCACTATTCCCCCCACTGATGCCAATGATGGGGCACTATTCCCCCCACTGATGCCAATGATGGGGCACTATTCCCCCCACTGATGCCAATGATGGGGCACTATTCCCCCCACTGATGCCAATGATGGGGCACTATTCCCCCCACTCATGCCAATGATGGGGCACTATTCCCCCCACTCATGCCAATGATGGGGCACTATTCCCCCCACTCATGCCAATGATGGGGCACTATTCCCCCCACTCATGCCAATGATGGGGCACTATTCCCCCCACTCATGCCAATGATGGGGCACTATTCCCCCCACTCATGCCAATGATGGGGCACTATTTCCCCCCACTCATGCCAATGATGGGGCACTATTCCCCCCCACTCATGCCAATGATGGGGCACTATTCCCCCCCACTCATGCCAATGATGGGGCACTATTCCCCCCCACTCATGCCAATGATGGGGCACTATTCCCCCCCACTCATGCCAATGATGGGGCACTATTCCCCCCCACTCATGCCAATGATGGGGCACTATTCCCCCCCACTCATGCCAATGATGGGGCACTATTCCCCCCCCACTCATGCCAATGATGGGGCACTATTCCCCCCCCACTCATGCCAATGATGGGGCACTATTCCCCCCACTGACGCCAATGATGGGGCACTATTCCCCCCACTGACGCCAATGATGGGGCACTATTCCCCCCACTGACGCCAATGATGGGGCACTATTCCCCCCACTGACGCCAATGATGGGGCACTATTCCCCCCACTGACGCCAATGATGGGGCACTATTCCCCCCACTGACGTCAATGATGGGGCACTATTCCCCCCACTGACGTCAATGATGGGGCACTATACCCCCCCACTGACGCCAATGATGGGGCACTATACCCCCCCACTGACGCCAATGATGGGGCACTATTCCCCCCACTGACGCCAATGATGGAGCACTATTCCCCCCACTGACGCCAATGATGGAGCACTATTCCCCCCACTGACGCCAATGATGGGGCACTATTCCCCCCACTGACGCCAATGATGGGGCACTATTCCCCCCACTGACGCCAATGATGGGGCACTATTCCCCCCACTGACGCCAATGATGGGGCACTATTCCCCCCACTGACGCCAATGATGGGGCACTATTCCCCCCACTGATGCCAATGATGGGGCACTATTCCCCCCACTGATGCCAATGATGGGGCACTATTCCCCCCACTGATGCCAATGATGAGGCACTATTCCCCCCACTGATGCCAATGATGAGGCACTATTCCCCCCACTGATGCCAATGATGGGGCACTATTCCCCCCACTGATGCCAATGATGGGGCACTATTCCCCCCACTGATGCCAATGATGGGGCACTATTCCCCCCACTGATGCCAATGATGGGGCACTATTCCCCCCACTGATGCCAATGATGGGGCACTATTCCCCCCACTGATGCCAATGATGGGGCACTATTCCCCCCACTGATGCCAATGATGGGGCACTATTCCCCCCACTGATGCCAATGATGGGGCACTATTCCCCCCACTGATGCCAATGATGAGGCACTATTCCCCCCCACTCATGCCAATGATGGGGCACTATTCCCCCCCACTGATGCCAATGATGGGGCACTATTCCCCCCCACTCATGCCAATGATGGGGCACTATTCCCCCCCACTCATGCCAATGATGGGGCACTATTCCCCCCCCACTCATGCCAATGATGGGGCACTATTCCCCCACTATTCCCCCCCCACTGACGCCAATGATGGGGCACTATTCCCCCCACTGACGCCAATGATGGGGCACTATTCCCCCCACTGACGCCAATGATGGGGCACTATTCCCCCCACTGACGCCAATGATGGGGCACTATTCCCCCCACTGACGTCAATGATGGGGCACTATACCCCCCCACTGACGCCAATGATGGGGCACTATTCCCCCCACTGACGCCAATGATGGAGCACTATTCCCCCCACTGACGCCAATGATGGGGCACTATTCCCCCCACTGATGCCAATGATGGGGCACTATTCCCCCCACTGACGCCAATGATGGAGCACTATTCCCCCCACTGACGCCAATGATGGGGCACTATTCCCCCCACTGATGCCAATGATGGGGCACTATTCCCCCCCACTGACACCAATGATGGGGCACTATTCCCCCCACTGATGCCAATGATGGGGCACTATTCCCCCCACTGATGCCAATGATAGGGCACTGCTCCTCCCAGGTGACACCAACGATAGGGTATTATTCCTCCTCCTATGGACCACAAGTGCAATGTGATCTTTTTGCTCCCAATCACTAAGCCTGAGGCATTTTTACTCTCACTGGCCACAATCCAATTGAGCAATATTAATGGGTTCTTTCTAATCAATGCTCGCAGTGCTGACTGTTTGCATAGAACTTAAAACACCAAAGGGCTGCATGTAGACCTCGGGTTGCAGGTTGAGCACCAGGGCCCAGGACCTTCTGCACCTGACCCTGGACAGCAAGTTCAGCAGCAAGTGACCAATCGCCCACGCACAGTCATGTGGGACAAAGGGAGGAACATGACCATCCCTGTGCTAATACCAATCCTCAGAGGTATCAGGTAGCTAGATAAGCATTGTAAAGGGAACATGTGGCACTGTAGGGTCCTTTTCTGTATAGCTGCTGTGTGAAGCTTCTTTCTTAAAACGGATTACAGGATTGCTTTTGCCTAAAGTGGCTGCTGACAGAACCATCTATGTTCAGGCATCAGTGTCACCATCTACTTACTGGACCAAGATGCCAACTAAGATGACACCATCATGTAAATCCTGGTGTCTGCGCCGTTCTCGGCTGTGTTCACAAATGTCGAATACAGATCAGCCCCTGCTGCAACCTTTCACCTTGTGAGTTGCGAGAAAGTTACCATGTTGGGCAGCGTAGACTGAGGAAATGTTTCCACCTGCCTGCAGCAGACTGAAGACATCCTCTCAGCCTAGGCCGAGTCACGGACTAGAGCTCAAGGATGGCTTTTTAATGCTAAGAGGTGTAGCTTTTCTGATCAATGATATTGTTGCTGTATAATGTGGGATGTCAGGGATTTATCAAGAAGTAAAATAACTGACAGGTCTGCTTTTATTGTAGCACCTTTCAATACCATTTATGTTTTGTGTATACTGAGTTTTTACATTCTTTTTGGTTTGCAAATCAGGAAAACAGAAGGCACTGCTCACCTGCACCCTCCATCTTCAGTAAGAACATGTCTGTGTGGACGGTCCCTTTATCAACGTCCTTTTTTACTCTCTGGAAAGAAGGATTACAGTCAGAGACCACCAAAACTGACTCATAGGGGAAATTGTTCTGAACTGGCATTATATGTTGGCACTGCTACCAGCTAGTAGATTGAATCTGACCTCCAGCCTTCCCTTCAGCCTTGCACAGTTGTAAATCGCTGGATATCAAGTGTTTCAATCATGAAGGCAGAGCATCACATGTGAGTGTTACCAAGGGTGGTCTGCATGCAAATACAGCCTGCCTAGGAATGCCCACTGCTCCAGACTGGCACCCACCCATCAAAGCATTTTGATATTTGTACAACTCAAACCAAGAAGCCAGCTCACTGCTTGCATCAGGACTGGGGGCTCTTGATACAAAAACTAAGGCAGGGTACTGTGATGTTTTCAGGAAGCTATGTACAGTAACCTGCCAGTCCCTCCCATGAGCCACAATCTGCATGCATTCCAAAGAGGAGCACAGAGACCCAGTGGTAACATCACTGGGTCTAAAATTGGGAACCTATAAGAGGAGCAGATTGTTGGAGTTGTACTTCACATATCCCCTAATGGAACATTTTAGGCAACAGAACGTGATGCATAGACTGACAGTTTTCAGGAAGCTATGTACAGTACCCTGCCAGCCCCTCCACAAGCCACAATCTGCCTGTAATCCAAACAGGAGCACAGAGACCCAATGGTAACATCAAAAATTGGGAGCATATAAGAGGAGCAGATTGTGGAGTTTTACTTCACATGGTGATGGTTCTAAAATCAGACTATTTTTACCTTTATGCATTCCCTGCATTAAAGTAAAAAAGTCCCCACTACTCTTGCCTGCCCCATCTTTAAACACTTACCCGAGTCCTCTCTCTCTTACCAGTGCCGTCCCATTTACAGAACTACTGCTCTCTTACTGGTCTCACAGGAGACACAGGCAGTGGGGGAGCCATAGGCCCTTCTGCTGTCAGTCAAATCCTGTGAGGAGAGAGCAGGGGTATGGCTGAGCCACGCTGTGTCACCATGGCTTGCTAAAGGGGCGTCTGTAAGAAGGAGTGGAAAGCACCAGTGGGGGATTTGAAAAGAGGAGGTAAGAGACTGCTCTGTGCTGTATCGTTGCACAGAGCAGGTAAGTATAACTTCTTTTTTACATTAAAGAATATTACCTTTAATAGCACTTCAATTTTATTTATATTACCCATTCTGCCCTTAGTAGCAACACTGCAGCCTGTGTGCACACACAACTCACCTGCTTGGAATAACCACCATAGAGGACCACGTTGCCATCCTGTGTGGTAGTCATTTGGCATCCTGACCGTGGTGAAGGACCCGTCCCAGACGGGGAGATCTTGGCCCACGTAAAGGTGTCAAGGTTAAATGTGTATAGGTCATTATAATAGATGTAGTCCCTAGAAATGAGTAAACAGTTTTTACAGAAAGTAGCTTAGAATGGGCTGTAAGGCTGATGGTATCCAAGGCAAAGAAGGTAAGATGGCACACAAAAAGACAGGCAAAAATAAGTTAAGGATGGGCCAGGCAGAAAAAAAAAAGATGAAGGAAATGACAGGCAAGAACTAAAGGCAGGGAAGGAGCAGGCAGGAGAACCAGAGCAGGGAAGCGGCATGCAGGAGAGAAAAAAAAATGCTGGAAGAGGCAGTCAGAAGAACAGGAGCCTCCTCTCCTGTTCTAGGGAAGGGTAGGCAGAAGAACAGAGTGAAAGGAAGATTCAGGCAGCAGAACAGAATACAGGGAAGGGGCGGGCAGGTGAATAGAAAACAGGGAAGGGGCAGACAGGAGAACAGAGGGCAAGGAGCAGGAGGGGAAAAAGAGCACAGAAGCGGCAGGCAGGAGGCACAGAGAGCACAGAAGCGGCAGGCAGGAGGCACAGAAAGCAGGGAAGCGGCAGCAGAAGAACAGAAGAGAGGGAAGGGGCAGACAGAAGAACAGAAGAGAGGGAAGGGGCAGACAGAAGAACAGAAGAGAGGGAAGGGGCAGACAGAAGACAGAACGAACAGAAGAGAGGGAAGGGGCAGACAGAAGAACAGAAGAGAGGGAAGGGGCAGACAGAAGAACAGAGGACAGGGAAGGGGCAGGCAGAAGAACAGGGAGGACAGGGAAGGGGCAGGCAGAAGAACAGAGGGCAGGGAAGGGGCAGGCAGAAGAACAGAGGGCAGGGAAGGGGCAGGCAGAAGAACAGAGGGCAGGGAAGGGGCAGGCAGAAGAACAGAGGGCAGGGAAGAGGCAGACAGAAGAAAGAGGGCAGGCACAGAAGAACAGAGGACAGGGAAGGGGCAGACAGAAGAACAGAGGACAGGGAAGGGGCAGACAGAAGAACAGAGGGCAGGGAAGAGGGCAGACAGAGGCAGAACAGAGGGCAGGGAAGAGGCAGCAGAGGAACAGAGGGCAGGGAAGAGGCAGGCAGAGGAAACAGAGGGCAGGGAAGAGGCAGGCAGAGGCAGACAGAGGGCAGGAGGAAGAGGCAGAAGAGGAACAAAGGGCAGGGGGAGGCAGAGGCAGGCAGAAGAACAGTGGGCAGGGAAGAGGCAGGCAGAAGAACAGTGGGCAGGGAAGGAGGAGGCAGAAGAACAGTGGGCAGGGAAGGAGGAGGCAGGAGAAAGAGAGCAGGGGAAGCAGGGGCAGGCAAAAGAACAGAAGACAGGGAAGGAGCAGGCAGAGACAGAAGAATAGAGGGAAGGGAAGAGGCAAGCAGAAGAACAGAGGGCAGGGAAGAGGGAGGTGAGAGAACAGATGGCAGGGAAGGGACAGGCAATCAAAGGGCTGGGATAAGACAGGCAGGAAAACAAAGGGCAGACCAGAAAAATGATGGTAGGGAGAGGAGGTAGATTTAGGACTAGGACAAGCAGGGGTATGAGATGGCAGGACACACATACAAAGCCTCACCTTGTGCTCTCATGGAATCCTCCAAACACGATCAGCTGTCTCTTGGTATAAAGCATACGGTGCCCGCTTCTTCCAGAGGGGCCCCCAGTAGACCTGCACATGAGAAAGAATGAAAAAAAGGAGCAAGTAATTCAGCACTTTGGTTTACCAAGCAGGAAAAGCTTATTAATCTGAACATGATGTGACACAGAGCTTAAAAAAAAGAAAAAAGTTCCTTACATGTTTATTGAAAATAAAAAAAATAAATAAGTTACGGAAGATACTTCCATATCTGTCTGCTCGTGTTCGCTAAAAATTCAAAGTACGACGTCTGACAGTATCATATTGCTGGGAAAGAATATTTAGGGCTGCTCTTTCTTAGAATATATGCATGTCATTTTTTTTCTCTCTAGAAGATTATGTTATGTATTTATTATATCAGGGTCAGAATTCACTTTTTTTTTCTCAGGTTTTTATCCATCTTTCCTGCATCCGGAACAGATGAAAGCTTTTCATCCTGTGAAGTATCTGGAGAGACACCTGCAGGAAGGATGGGATCCGTCACATCTGTCCTAGCAACCGAACTCTTCACGACGGCGGGCGGACCAGATGGGATGAGTGCTCTGCAGAGCTTCTCTGGCGCTGCACTTGTCACCTGTGTACCTGACACCTGGCCAGCCCGGGGATCTCCACACAGCCACCAGAACCTATTGCTGCTAGTAAAACGGCCTCCTGGGAACTGCCGTTGTTGTGGAGATGGCAGGTTTGACACAAGGAGGAGACAATTAACTGCATACAGAGACCCGGCGTACAATTAGAAGAACGTGAAAAGAATACAACAGGTCCCGACATCCAGCCAATTAGTCTATTACAAATTCTGTAGAAATCCCAGCTCTTTAAATTGAGCATCTAGCTATAGCAAGAAAACAAAATTCCCCCGGTTCAGCTTAATATACTTTAATGTAATACTGTAGAAAGGGTCCTACATGCTTCTGTCCTGTAGATACTGATCGTAGAACATTGCAGTGCAGGCGATGAAACTCCTGTAGATACCCAAGGATATGTTCACACTTTGTACATGTCGGGAACAAGCGCAAAATCGTGCACTTTCCAGACCTGCACAGAAACACACTGCCCTTTAGAAGACACACACAGGAGGTGATATTACTTCTTAATGGCACCCCCATGTATCTAGCACGCATGTTTTCATGCACGCCAAAATGCACAGTGCTGTGGTTCAGTGCAGCGCAATTTTGCAAATGGACCAGGGACTTCTTTTGCACATTTCTTGCATGTAGGGCAGGAATGTGGGAAGCACTAAACTCTTGTCAGTCCTTACTTGATATGCTCCCATGTCTTGTTAGCGAGATGAAGCACCCACAGGTCCTTGTAGTGGTAAAACTGCTCCCCATCAGGAGATGCAAATTCTCCTCCGAAGACCCAAATCTGGCCACCAGCCTGGGGTACTGCCACTGCCTATGGAGGAAAACATAAGAGAGCAGAGGTCACAACAATCACACTACACACTTTTGCCAAAAGCAGAACAAAAAAGTCCAGATTCAATTTTATTCAGATTTTTATGTCATAAAAAGCCAACGCATTTCAGGGGTCTAAAGGGTCCCTCCGTCATCGGGGCAACACAAAGGATTATGATCAGTATATAGTAGTAATTGGTAAGAATACTGGATGTAAATGCAATACAAAATTAGGAAGGCAGGTATAGATGTACACACACATTCTAAGATATTATATACTCTGTGTTTGTATAATATATATATATATATATATATATATATATATATATATATATATATATATATATATATATATATATATATACACACACACACATACAAACACACACATACACACATTCTGTGGAATGTGGTCCAAATCATCCTGGGCTGGAATACCTGATCACAGGGGCCAGAAGTTGGGTGACTCCATGCAACACAGATGTACAGCAGTTTCTCAGAAACAGTGCGACTACAACCAAATATTCATTAAGTCATCCAAAGGAAAGCAAAATCTTCAAACATTTCTCAGTTTATATAGTGAATGTTTGAGTTTGTAAAGAAGAATACAAACACTGCGATTTTTTTGAACCGTCTAATATTCACTTTTCTTCAATTTTTTTTGAGGAACAACACAAATTTGATCTATTTTTCTTCATGTTTTGATTTGGAATAGAATGTGTCGTGTTCCCAATGCATTTGTGTGGATGGAAATAAAAGCTATTAGAAGGATTTTGAGCTTTATTCACTTTTTTCAACACACTGCTATTATTTTGAACACAACTGTATATAGTGTCATTATATCTGGTGTTTTGAGAGGGTGGAGGTGGATTCATGAAGTGATGATTGGATCACCATAAGAAGAGGATTTGAAAAGACAGTGGAGCACAATTTATATGGCATTTTATGACGTGTAACACTGAACACAGACTGCAATTTGACACTTTAAAGTGGAGTTCCATTCACTCTTTAAAAAAAAAATAAAAGTCAGCAGCTACAAAAACTGTAGCTGCTGACTTTTAAAAAAAAAAAACAGCCACTCACCTGTCCCACGATCCCGCGTTGCCCCCGCCGCAGCCCGTTTCTCCGGCTCCTGTATTTCAGGTGCCGGCATCTTCGGTGTGGGCGCCTGGCTGTGACAGCTTGCGGCTTCACAGCCGGGTGCCCATTGCACATGCGCGAGTAGCGCTGCGCTTCCTGAATGGCCCCGTCGTCTTCTTGTCCCACAAGACTTCGGAGAGGGAGGGTAAGAGGACAACTTCCGCTTCCAATCGCCTAGGCAATCGCAGTCGGAAGTGGGAGCGGGTACCTGTCAAATTCGGGTACCTGTCCCCCCCCCCCCCCCCCCACTCCCCAAAGGTGCCAATCCTTAATGGGGAGTGGGGGACCAATCTATAAAGCGGAACCTCCCCTTTTGGGTGGAACTCCGCTTTAAGTTGTGAAGCACAAGACACTGATTATTTATCTGCATGTGTGAACTAGGCACTTTGTATACTTAAATTTTGACACAGAGTTCTTAATATTTTACAAGCGCTGTATATTTATGATTTTTTAAAAAGTGAAGGATTGTAAAAAAGGAGAATTTGATGGAATTGTATAGTATATACTTACCTTGATACTGTACTGTACTGCAATAAAAACCTGATAGGGGTACTTACCCCCTACAACATATCTAGTGGCAAAAAACAATTACTGCCGAGGACAGTGGCTATATTGAGTATTGAGCTCAGAGGTCTTACTGACCAATAAGGAGAATAGGGATGGAGTTGGGCTATGCTGAAAGTCTACAAGAGAATGGAGAATTTATTTGTATGCTTTCACAATTGCTAACGTAAAAAAATAAAGAAAAAAAAATAATGAATACATAATTCAGTTAATTATGGGATATATGCCAGGAGTGCCTTATTAATAAATATCTCCAAAAGTCAGAGGGTCTTCTGAGAGCAGGCTCTGTACATGTTTCTCTGTCAATCAAGTCCATTAGCCTGAGCGGCGCACAAATAATTGTCATGGCAGACAAACCGCTGTACTCGTTCAGCTCCAGCGCCTTCACCTAATACAGGCGGCAAATGAGGCTTCACGGGCGGCGCGGCTGTTCATGTTTATGAAAATTACATGCATGACATGATAAGTGCAGCCGCCCCACTTCCACACACAACACCTCAGATACCGTCACATCTCCAGGAATTATTCCTGAATAAACAGCGGAGGAAGATTCCCTGGAAACCACGAACACCATTCCAGGAATTATTTTACATAAAATAAAAAAAAAAAAGGACCATTCCAAGAAACCAGTTGGCTCCATTTCAACACAATATCCCATCCTCCTCATTTTCGCCTGTTTATCAAAGAGACCCTGTCACTATGCCATACAGCAGAAAGGGATATAGTCTCTTTAACCAGTTGTGGACACTGGCCGTGCCCATCAAAAAGTACACAGGGCATGTATTTATTATTTATTTCAAGTACTTATATAGCGCCGTCAATTTATGCAGCGCTTTACATATATATTGTACATTCACATCAGTCCCTAACCCTCAAGGGGCGTACAATCTAAGGTCCCTAACTCACATTCATACATACACATAGTAGGGCCAATTTAGACAGGAGCCAATTAACCTACCAGCATGTCTTTGGAGTGTAGGAGGAAACCGGAGTACCCGGAGGAAACCCACACAGGCACAGGGAGAACATGCATGCAAACTCCAGGCAGGTGGTGCCGTGGCTGGGATTTGAACCAACGACCCTACTACTGCCAGGCGGAAGTGCTAACCATTTAGTGCTGCCCATGTGTAGGTTATTCTTAGCTTCAGAATGCTGCCACTGTCTCCTTGCACTTGCCAGCAATTCTCAACTGTCAAAATGACAGCTGGGATTGTTGTGTAAATACTGGAGCTGTAGGAGCTGCTGCTGTAAATAAAAAAAACAAAAAAAATCCAATACAGTGTTTATAAACATTGATCAGACAAGCGATAGATATAAAGTAACATTATTTGTAAACATTATTCAGACAGGCGATAGGGAAGTAACATTTTTTATAAACACTGATCAGACAGGCGATAGGGAGATACAAAGTAACAGAGGGGAGATAGGGAGATACAAAGTAACAGAGGGGAGATAGGGAGATACAAAGTAACAGAGGGGAGATAATAAAGAGATACAAAGTAACAGAGGGGGAGATAAAGAGATACAAAGTAACAGAGGGAGATAAAGAGATACAAAGTAACAGAGGGGAGATAAAGAGATACAAAAAAAAAACATACAGGAGATAGAAAGATGTTACTTTTGTTACTTTTGTATCTATCCCATTCAACAGCAGATTAAAGGGATGACCTTCCATTTGCATATAATGTCAGTTAAAGCAACCTGACAAAAAAAAAAAAAAAAAATTTAAATAGCGTCCAGTTAAATCTCTTATTATCCTGAGTTTACACCAATCAGCCCTAATCCTCTAATTAATTCCTTCTTACCTTTCTCACCTTAACTATTTTCCTGATGATTTTTTTAACATTTTTTTTTCTGTTTTGTTACTTTTTTTGCATATGAATTGTATAAAAATAAAATAATTTTTGCAAGACAAACCTATTTTAAATACTTACCTCAACCCCGCCCCCCACTTTATATATTTGTGCTTGTTTTAGACTTATCTTATTACATTGTTTGTTGTTGTTGTACTGTGCCATGTATTGTCCCCCCTATTGTACAGCGCTGAGCAAACCCTTTGGCGCTATATAAACTCGTAGTAATAATAATAATAATAATTACTGATGTTGCAGAGCGCTGAAGAACCTGCTGGCGTTCTATAAATTATTAATATCATAAATGCTGAAATGTTATTTGCTCAATGGATTACACGTGAAATGTTTTCATTTCCTGAAAGAAATACCGGCGCCGAGCCTGGTAGCAGTACATTCGCTTAAGAAGGACCATCGGAGCTAAAAATAAGTCAAAGTAACAGTAATTAAAAAGGAAACGGATGTTGTCATGGAGATATTAAGTGCTAATGATAATGCTCGGGGTTATATTATATAGCACTTTACAAACTGCGGCTTTTAATTAAATACCAGAAGTTGAATAAACTTCGTTCTGTAGAGAGGGCTCATCGTTTTTGGCTTTTTTTTTTGCATGCTTTAGCTATTAATAGCAATTTACTACTCTGTACCAGAGGAGCTTACACTCTAATGTCCCCCCCTCAGTCACACTATTATTATACATTTATAAAGCTCTGACATGTACCACAGTGCTGTAAAAAGAACACTGATCCTTTCACTTTTTTTTTTTTTTTTATTTCAGGTACTTATGTAGCGCTGTCAATCAGTCTCAGTACCAGAGGGTCTTACAGTACTCCACAAAGTCAGACACCATTATTATACAATTACACTCACTGGCCACTTCATTAGGTACATCTAAAAATCTCCCCCCTACCATTACACCACCACCAGCCTGAACCGTTAATGTAAGACAGGAATGATCCATGCTTTCGTATCGTTTACGCCACATTCTGACCCTACCATCTGAATGTCGCAGCAACCAGTCTGCCCATTCTCCTCTGACATCAACAAGGCATTTTCATCCACAAAACTGTCGCTCACTGGATATTTTTTCTTTTTTTGGATAACTCTCTGTAAACCCTAGAGATGGTTGTGCGTGAAAATCCCAGTAGATCAGCAGTATTTGAAATACTCAGACCAGCCCGTCTGGCACCAACAACCATGCCATGTTCAAAGTCACTTAAATCCCCTTCGTCCCCATTCTGATGCTCGGTTTGAACTTCAGCAAGTCGTCTTCAACATGTCTAGATGCCTAAATGCATTGAGTTTCTACCATGTGATTGGCCGATTAGCAATTTGTGCTACCAAGCAATTAAACAGGTGTACCTAATAAAGTGGCTGGTGAGTGTATATAGCTCTGCAGCAGAGGAGCTTACACTCTAATATGCCCCCATAGCTACACTCTATTATT